CCTCATTGGCATGTTCTCACGATTCTTGAATCTTGCTATCAACAGTTCAGTTGGGCTAGGCATCAGTCAAAGCATAAGCGACTCCATGAATGTCGAGCAAGGAAAAGACACGTTCTTGCCAACGTTTAAAATTTTCATTGGCAAAAACTTCAATCTTCGAAACATCAGGAAAAGGTTTGGCGTATGTTAAGCCGACAGGAACTGAGGGTGGAGCTGGTACACCAAGGGACTGCGTAGCATCAACATTGGTAGCATTAGCTTGGGCGGAATTCATAATTTCTTATGATTGTTGAAAAAATGTAGGCCAAATACTAATAAAGAATTAAATAAAATAATACTTGAGTCGCGCTAAAAAGCACTGTCCTTAAAAAACTATTCCAATGGTATTGAAATGTCTCCCCAGGATTAAACAAGCCTTCCTCAAATGATGGAGGGAATTAGAACAGCTAAAAAATTATTAATGCAGCAATACAGAATAATAGAAAGAAAACTTTTTATTTTAAAAACCAAAGAAAATTGTGCTAAAACAGCTCAAGACTTTTGTATTTAATGTGCCGAAATCAGTAAACAAAGAAAACCAAACCTTTTTGGTGTTGAATGAAGAAAATGGGCTTTAAGCCTTGAATGATCGAAATGAAAAAAAAATGAAAGAAAGATCAGAGAAAAGAGAAAATGTTTGGTGCCTTTTTTCTCACTCAAATTTGGCATCTATTTATAGTGTCAAAATGTCCCATTGCCGCCCCCAAAATATCAGAAATAAGATTCTCCATTTGATAAGATTAAGACTTTTAGTGGGCAGATTTTAGGAACAGACTACCAAGACTCATTGCTCTACTTTGACTTCGTATTTTGGGTTTTATCCAAAAAAAAAAGTGAGATGAACCAAGTCAATTTTATAACACATTTTTACTAATTAACTTAGTAACAATAAAAATCTTTTTGAAATAATCAACAAGAACCTCGTCTTATAGATTCATACTTAACTAAGCTGGACAAAAAACAAATGAAACAATTGACTAATTGGAATAAAACATCATCTTTTGTTAGTCTGCACTCCCAAAGTAAAGAAGCAATTAAACAAGTTGGCGATGAGATGAACATTAGATAGGAGGTGATAAACTTGGAGTACAATACTAGAATTTGTGAAGTTAACACATACCTTTACATCTTTATTGTTAAAAAAGAAAAAGAAAAAGAAAAAGAAAAAAGAATTGGCTCGGTGAAATGGTATTTGATATACATCAAAGAACAAGTTGACCTAGCAAAATTCACTGCCTTTCAAGATCATAAGGAACACCAATATTTACACCTTCCCACGGTTCGGGTTGCACTGCTGATAACCCCAGCCTGGGCTCAGCTTCGGTTCGACAAATTGGGCATGTTGAATGTGAAGTAAGCCATTTGGGATCAGCCATTTGGCCACAATTTGGTAATTTCCGAGCTATTTCACCAGTTTCAAACGAGCTTAGACAAACAGAGCACTCTGTTTTTGCCCCTGTTTCCACATCTTTGTCACGTTTCTTGATGATGAATTTCGGCAATGAAGCAACGATCAAAATAGATCAAGCCCGGCTGTTCTTCGCAATTCATTAGGCTCGTCGTCGCCAGAGGTTGCAGTGATTCTGGGCTGGTGATGAGCCGGCCTCCTCCGTCGCTGGCGAACGGATCTTGAGCATACGCGAATCGTTATAACTAGAAAGATGATTACGAATACAGAAATTATTGTTGTGACAATGATCTTGTTCATTCGTTGGTTTTCCTTTTCAAAAACATGCCATAATGATCTTGTTCATTCTGTGCATCACCGGAAGCCATCTTCGATGTCGCTGAATCTTGCCTCCGAGGATTGGATTGATGTTGTTGAGGCTTTTTTGACTTTGTACCAAACTTTTAACTACTTGTTTCGTTTGAGTGTTTGACAAGAAATTTCTTTGATTTCGGTATAATTTCGAATTCAAGACTTCTTTTTTCGTTGTGGTTTATGGTTTTATTGGAGATTATTTATTTTGACTCGATCTGGTATTCTGGTTGATGATGCTTATCGGTATGATGTAATGCCTGACTCGAGGATATACGCAAGCTTGGGTGTAGAATGTAAATTGTGAGGTGCTTCATCTTAATTCAACAAAAAGGGTTGACTTTTGAAAAAGGTTGGTGTTGTTCAAACTTCAAACAAGATTGTTATTCTCAGACGGAATAAGTAACACTAATATACTACTACCAATATGCACTTGATTCAAGTGATAAATACTTTGTGCTAGTTTAGCTATGACTCGGGTTCGAACCCGGACATGAGAATGATTAAAATATTTATTGGGAGAGATTTGTCTCCTGAAAAAGACCTACCTGACTCGAATCTCAATTAGTCGGAGCAATGATTTTAAACACCGGATGCATAATATATCAAGAAAAAAGAAAATACTAGTATACTACTAAAACTAAAGATTGGTACCTACAATTTCTCGACTTGTTACGTGCCACATTTTACGGCATAATTGACATTTTACAACTTGTGCAAAATCAAGTGAGCACCATGCTCTGGCTTAAGGGTTATCAACGAGATGGGAGCATGTGAATACGATGGCGAAAGTTCAAACCAGAACCTCTGCAGAATCATCACCATCACTACTTTAGCTTCCAACATTGCGAAACTCTGACCGAGGCACACCCGAGGTCCCCAACCAAATGGCAAGAACGCAGTTTTCCCCTTGGTTGCATTCACCACTCCTTCAGCAAACCTCTCTGGTTTGAACTCTTTCGCGTCTTCTCCCCATATGGAATGATTATGATGAACCAAAATTGTCGGCATCAGCAGTTGCATTTTTCTTGGAAGATTCAAGTTCCCCAAATTGCATTCCTCGGATGTTATTCGACCGTTGACAGGAACTGGTGGATATAACCTCAGAACCTCGTTCAATATCATAGTCAACTGAAAGGAACAACAGAAAATTTGAATCCTGTTTACTACTCGTTTGTTATTTAGAGGACTGAAGCCAAAGAGAATGTCTAACTAAGTTTATACACTTACCTGTTCAAGGCGATTTAGTCCATAAAGATCGGGTTCATTGTCGCTGAAGATTTGCAAAACTTCATCTCTAGCCCGAGCCTGCCAGTCAGGATACCTACTTAATAAGACCATAGTCCAAACAAGTAGCACTGATGTTGATTCCTGTCCAGCAACGTAGAACAGCTTGCACTCGTCGATTACTTCTTTGATGTTCATTCCATATTCGACATTGTTTCCGTTCCTGATGATTTCTTGACGGTTGGTTTCTAATAATATTCCTAACAAGTCATCAGAACAGGGTTCCCCTGCTTCCATTGCATTTATTCTTGTATTGATAATCCGTCTGATTGAACTACCAACCTCGCTAGCCAATTTTTTCATCCTTCTGTTTCGCTTGGTCGGTAAGAACCTGTTTTAAAAAAATGATTGCAGCAAATGAAATATTGAAAAATGAAGCTTATTATTCTGTATTACTTCTTTAAGCAACCAAAAAGAAAATATTACCTCCAACCTGGGATGAACATTGACCACAATGCCTTGACACAATGCTCACCAAGTTCTCTTTGAAGTTCAAATATCTCCTTTCCTTCCTCATAGTTACTGCCGAATGCAGTTCGTGAGATGGCATCACTTGTCAAACCATGAAGATAAGGCCAAACATCCAATTCAGAAAACCCTTCGGGTGTAACCATCTCCTCCCATTTATTCAACACTAAATTTGCACTTATAATGAAAGAAGGAAGCATGTGCTATATATAAACGCGGAGAGAAAAAGAAAGTGTTAGTTAAATCAAAATACATCCTAGTGAATTCATGATTTTACAGTCTTGAATTAAAAAATTCAGGGAAAAGTAATTTAAACCTTCAACTTCTCCCCATGGAAAATAGGGTTGATGAGTTTTCTGTGTTTGGCCCATTTATCTCCATTGTAGCTGACAATTCCTGGCATCAACAATCTGGTAAATTGAGTCGCTTCAGGTTTATGAAACTGGTTTATGCACTGTGAAGCCTCCTTTATGAGTTCAAAATCCCGGGTTATAAGAAATGGTTCCGGACCAAACCATACATAAGATTTCTCACCTGCAAATAGTCACTTCTTGTTTAAATGAAAATTAGCAGGATTGCTGAAACAACAGGATGAGGATCATGATATATGAGAGCATTACCATGTTTCTTGAGGATATCAAGGAATTCAGGAATGATTCTTGGGACGATATCATCAGAGATTGAAATAGGTTTGGAGTGAGCTTCTTTCAACAGTTTTGACACATTTATCACATCTCCCAACAGCAATCTGTAAGGATTTCCTTTGAAACCTTGTGCTTGCAGGAGCTTCTCAAGTTTCTTGGGTTTTAGCCACACCCATTTGAACAATTTCCATAACATTGTTAAAAGGAATACTAGAGAACATACTGCAACGGAGCTGGAAACTGTCTCCATTTTCTTTACTGAATATTTGGGTCATCCATTTTTGCCATTACAGAGAGTTACATTATTTATAGGGCAATGAAGAACTTTTACTTCTTCCGCCCATTTTACAATACTAAAATTCAATCACTTTCGTGATGTTAATGTCTAAAATTGATCAGTCATATTTTCGTAAATAACAATAAGGAGATTGATGATAAAATAAGCGCAATTCAACATGAAGGAGGCAGATTCTGGTTTTGTATGGTTGTTTCTTTATCGGGAAGGTTTTGTTCTAGTCAGTCGTTTGTCGATCTCCTTTCGTCTACTTATAGTCTACGGCGGCGAAGTGACATTGAATGAATCTTATCGAATGAAAAAAAAAGGTAAAGTAGATAAAAATGAGATTATGATCAATGAGCAAAATAATTGTTTTAGCCGTACAATGATATTGACTCATTAATTAAGGTTTCTTCAAGTTTCCATTTTGAATGGAAAGCTATAGACATGGAGATGATGAATGGTAGTATATCAATTCCTAGATTAAGAAATGAAAAATATACTAAAAGTGAAATTTCAAACTGGACAATAATTTTGGAACATATGGAGTATCTTTTCTTTTGGAAATTTCCTAGACATTGTCGTTGGATTTTAATATCTTTTCTGAAATGGTCAAATCAAACAGCACAGAGGAATTATTCCAGTTTTCAGGTTTACTCTCTATATCATAACACCGATGACAATTTTCTGGTCATAACACAAGTAATTACAGTTTATGCAAAATCAAATGAGCACCATGCTGAGGTTGAACGGTTACTACAGAGCGAGGAGCATGCGAGTAAGATGGTGAAAGTTCAAAAGAAAAACGCTGTAAAATCATGGCCATAGCTAATTTAGCTTCCAACAGTGCAAAATTTTGTCCGATGCAGATACGAGGCCCCCAACCAAAAGGGAAAAACACGACTTGGCCCTTTGTTGCATGCGAAACTCCTTCTGCAAACCTCTCTGGTCTGAATTCATTGGCATCATCACCCCATATTTTGGAGTCATGATGAATTAGCAAAGTTGGGATTATGAGTGATACTCCAACAGGGAGCACCAAATTTCCAATAATAGTTTCTTCTGTGCATTTTCGAGCAAGAGTTGCTGTTGGTGGATATAATCTTAGGACCTCGTGCAATATCATGTTAACCTGCCATTGAAATAATTATGTCCAATTTTAACTATTTCCATACGGTTTTTTGGTGAACAGAAATATAGTAACAGGCTTCAAGGACAAATGAAATGAGCCACTAATTAAGGAAAGGAAGAGTGGAGTTACTGAAATAGTTTAACCAAAAAACTTACAATTTTGAGGCGATTAAGCCCGTTGAAATCTGGCTTGTTAGTTCCAAAGATTTGCAGAACCTCTTCTCGAGCACGCAACTGCCAATCTTGATACTGACTCAACAAAACCATAGTCCAAACAAGCAGGGAAGAAGTGGTCTCTTGTCCAGCAAAATAGAACAGTTTGCACTCTTCAATCACTTCCTCAATAGTCATCCCATTCTTATCATTCTCTTGAGAGTTGGATTCAAGAAGTAAGCCCAACAAGTCTTCGCCGTATGTTTTCCCTGCTTGCATCGACTTCACTCTCGCATTGATAATTTCCTTAATCGAATATGTGACTTCTTTCGCGATTTGTTTCATTCTGATGTTCCTCTTTGTAGGTAAAAACCTGCAGAACTTAGTGATAATTTCTATGAGCACAACTAACAAGTGAACTTACTCATTGGTGTTACATATGATTAAGTTGAACAAACCGTCCCAAAATGATTGTCATGTACAACAAACATGACCGAGATTCGCACAACATATTTAATCTACACATACCTCAATCCAGGGAAATATAATGAACGGGCAGCTTTGGCCAAAATCGCAGCTTGCTCCCTTTGACGTTCAAATATCCTCTTTCCTTCTTCATAATTACTGCCAAACGCTGCCCGGGAAATGACATCACTGGTCAGGGTTTGAATATTGGGCCAAACATCAACTTCGGCCGATCCTTCCTCTGAACTAATGTTCTCCCATTTACTCAACAGCTCACTAGTACTCTCATAAAAGGCTGGTATCATCAGCTATTTCCAACAACAAGGTAAGACATCCATTAGCAATGAACTTCCATAAAATTGGCAACAACCAAAAAAAATTGTGTTTCTTTCTAATAGAAACTGTTGTTTTACAGTGTAATTTGTTGGAATATTTTCAATATATTGGAATATTATTTTCAATATATTATGAAAAGTTATAAAGTTTCATGATAGAAATGAAGAGACACATGCCAAATGTTCAAAGGTTGTGTCTAAGGATGACATAAATTAGAAGTGGTGTCTAATCATCCCAAAAACTGGAGAGACATCAACAAAGAGTTGTGTTTAATCCTAAGAGTCACTAAAACTCTATAAATATGGATCATTTGAGAGGTTTTTGCTGTAGAGAAAATTTTTCAAATATTTAAAATAGTTCTAATGACCATTCTTATCCTTGCTTTGGTAACCAAACACTAAGTGCATAGTATTTTGGTTTGATCTCCATTTTATCTCGTAGGGAATTCGCCTAGACAATTGCACAATATAGTGGGCGAATTTAGCCCAAAGGAAAGCAAGATTTTTCTTGTGACTTGGAGACAATTTTTTTTCATTTAGCAAGTGTTGTTTTTTTCTAGTATTTTGTGTGTTAGTGCATATTCTTTTGTAATAGAATTCCAACATAATTAACTCCAAAAAATAAAAAAATAAATAAAAAAAAACCTTCAATTTCTCCACATGAAAAGCTGGGTTGAGAAGCTTTCTGTGTTTGGCCCATTTTTCGCCATTGTAAGCAATTATCCCTTCAGCTAACAATCTAGAAAGTGGATTTGATCGAGGTCTTTGGAACACTTGAATTTTATTTGCGACTTCCTTTATCAGATCAGGCTCTGTGATTAGCAGGGATAGTTTAGGCCCCAACCATAAATACGAATTTTTGCCTGCAATCCCATCACCATTACACCGACATTAGCTATCAGAAATGCTTTCAGCCACACACACACACACAGAACATTCAGTTTGAAGAAGAAGAAGAAGAATAACATACCATATCTTTCCACGGTTTGGTGGAGGTGAGGAATGACCCGAGGAACGACGTCGTCCGATAGATTGATAGCCTTGGAGTGAGCTTGCTGAAACAAGGATGAGATTTCCTTTAAATCTCCATGGAGAAAATTGTAAGGATTTCCTCTGAATCCTTGTTCTCTGAGCTTCTTCTCCAGCTTTCTGGGTTCAAACCATACCCAATTCAACGCCTTCCATCCTAACGCTAAAACTGCTGCAACAGCTAAGAGCAAGGGAAACATGAAAGTGGCATCTATATTTGTGTTCCCCTTTTTTCCGATCCCTTTTAGTTTCTGTACACAAATTGTCGTTTAATTTCTTCTTCAACATCAAACGTGAGGAAGATGGTGCTTTATTTGGTTTATCTTTTTATTTTACCCAGGAACAATGGCAAAGAGAGAATTTAAAAAGTAAGATGTTACAGGCAGAAAACTGTAAATTGTTTTGTTTATTACACGACACACTGTGCATGTGATAAGATTCTCCGGATTGACTTTGGGAAGTTTAAACTAATGCCTACAAAATATACCAACATTTGTTATTTATATGCACTTCTCACTAAATCTTTACCCTAAGTTATAAATTTACATTTATGTGACACGATTAATGGTTGTTAACGATGAACCCGTATTATTTTTTATTTATAAAAAAAAAAAAGAAAAATACTAATTTTTGAAAGGGCATAAGACTCGAACAATTGTGACCCCAACTATGATGATGTCAATATGATCGCTCCCCAATTTTGTTGGAGGCTGTATCCAGTATACCCGGCGGCACCGTGCTCCCCTCCTATTTTTTACACGAGTAGTCCTTATTGTACTTTTTTCTCAATTTTTCTATATTTTACACGTTTAGTCCTTGTGAGTTTTTTTCTCTCTCTTCCAAAAAAAACATCCCTAATCTTTAAACGAGCAAATCTCCCAATCCGTGAAGAATTTGTGAACAAATTATATATGAAATTTATAGTACTCGTCGAGATCTATCCAACAAAATCCATAGTGAATATTTTTTCGGGCTTAAAAATCACTTAATTCTGATGGACAAAATAGGGGTGGATATCCAGTTTTACAAGATGGATAACCAACTTGTTCTAAATTGGTTATCCATCGTGTTCATGCTGATTATCCAATCAGTTTGAACTGGCTATCCATTTTGTTTCTACTGCTTATCCATTTGGTTATCCAACTTCTTAATTCAAAATAAGTTGGTTATCCATTTTGTTCATATTGATTATCCAATACGCTAATACTGGTTATCCAATGGATTTACATGCTTATCCAAGTTATTTGTACTGGTTATCCACTGTGTTCATGCTGATTATCCAACTTGTTTGTACTGGATATCCATCCATTTGGTTTGTATGTATATCCAACTCTAATCTTTCATTGAGCATATCTCTCAATCCGTGAAGAATTTGTGAACGAATTATATATGAAATTTATAGTACTCGTCAAGATCTATCCAACGAAATCCACAGTGAATATTTTTTCGAGCTTAAAAATGACTTAATTCTGACGGGCAGAATAGAGGTGGTTATCCATCTTCTTCTTTTTTTTTTTTTTGAAGAGTGAATGTCAAACATATGATTGGATAACAAGTACGAACCGAATGGATAATCACTCCAAACCGGTTGGATAATCAGCATGAACACAACGGATAACCATTTTTCAAAGGAAAACGAAAAACACGTTTCTTCATTTTCTGCCCATAAAGTTTAAATGCATTTAAAGTTCAAAAAAAATTCAACATGGATCTTATCGGATAGATCTCGTCGAGCACTATAAATTTCATATATAATTCGTGTTATAATTCTTTACGGATCAAAAGATACAAGGAACACAACAATATGAATGTGAAATAAGTTGGTTATCCATCTTCTCAAACTGGATATCCACTGTGTTCATGTTGATTATCCAATGCGCTAATACTGGTTATCTAATGAATTTACATGGTTATCCAAATTGTTTGAACTGGTTATCCAATGTGTTCATATTGATTATCCAATGCGCTAATACTGGTTATCCACTGTGTTCATGCTGATTATCCAACTTGTTTGTACTGGATATCCACTGTGTTCATGCATATCCAACTCTAATCTTTCAACGAGCATATCTCCCAATTCGTGAAGAATTTGTAAACGAATTATATATGAAATTTATAGTACTCATCGAGATCTATCCAACGAAATCCACAGTGAACATTTTTTTGGGCTTAAAAATGACTTAAAATAGAGGTGGTTATCCATCTTTTTTTTTTTTGAAGAGTGAATGTCAAACATATGATTGGATAACAAGTACGAATAGAATGGATAATCAGTCCAAACTGGTTGGATACAGTAGGAACATAACGGATAACCATTTTTCAAAGAAAAACAAAAAACGCATTTCTTCATTTCTGCCCGTAAAATTTAAATGCATTTAAAGTTCAAAAAAAATATTCAACATGGATCTTATCGGATAAATCTCGTCGAGTACTATAAATTTCATGTATAATTCATGTTATAATTCTTTACGAATCATTAGATACAAGGAAAAGAATAATATGAATGTAAAATAAGTTGGTTATACATCTTTTTAAACTGGATATCCATTCTGTTCATACTGGTTATTCAACTTATTTGTACTGATTATCCATCCATTTGGTTTGTATGCATATCCAACTCTAATCTTTCAACGAGCATATCTCCCAATCCGTGAAGAATTTGTGAACGAATTATATATGAAATTTATAGTACTCGTCGAGATCTACCCAATGAAATCTACAGTGAATATTTTTTCGGGCTTAAAAATGACTTAATTCTGATGGGCAGAATAGAATAGAGGTGGTTATCCATCATCTTTTTTTTTTTGAAGAGTGAATGTCAAACATATGATTGGATAACAAGTACGAACATAATGGATAATCACTCCAAACCGATTGGATAACCATTTTTCAAAGAAAAACGAAAAACGCATTTCTTCATTTCTGCCCGTAAAATTTAAATGCATTTAAAGTTCAAAAAAAATATTCAACATAGATCTTATCGGATAGATCTCATCGAGCACTATAAATTTCATATCTAATTCGTGTTATAATTCTTTACGGATGAAAGATACAAGGAACACAACAATATGAATGTAAAATAAGTTGGTTATCCATCTTGATTATTTATGTTAATACTGTTTATCCAAATAATTAGTATTATTTATCCAACCTGTTTTTTTTTATTTTTTTAAAAAATAATAAACTAAGTTGGTTATCCAACTAGTTTGTATTGGTTATCCAATCATTGGTTTGTATTGGATTATCCAATGCGCTAATGCTGGTTATCCAATGGATTTACATAGTTATCCAAATTGTTTGAACTGGTTATCCACTGTGTTCATACTGGTTATCCAACTCGTGCACACTGGTTATCCAACTTACTGGATATCCAACTTATTCTGCCTAAAGAAATTTGATCATTTTTAAACTCAAAAAAAATATTCGAAATGGATCTTGTTGAATAGATCTCGACGAGTACTATAATTTTCATGCATAACACGTTCTCTTATTCTTTACGGATTATGAGATATGGTCATTGAAAGATTGGAGATATTTTTTAAAGGAGAGAGAAAAAAAGTCACAGGGACTAAACTTATAAAATATAGAAAGATTGAGAAAAAAGTACAATAAGGACTAAAAATGCAAAAATAGGAGGGGGCACGGTGCCCCCGGGTATACTGGATAATTTGCCTTTTGTTTGTGTTCCATTAGTATTCTCCTCCGAGTCAGAAAAAGTGGTCGATTTATCGTCAAAGGGAGAGGATGGAAGCATTTGAGTCATTCATGATAACTATTCACTCAGCTTTCCAAAAAGCGACAATTAAACAACACTATTTGCCGTTGTTCCCAACATTGTGATTGCATTATTAATTCAGATTACAAAACGCTATAACGGAAAAAAATACTCCCTCCATTCCAAAAGTTGGAATAAGTGTGGTTTTGACAAAATGAAAAAATTCTAAAATAAGTATTGTTTTCGGGTTCCGATGTATTTTTTGTCAAAAAGTTCTAAACATATCCTTAAAAGAAATAATGTTATTGATGAGTATTTATTTAATGTGGTTGGATGAAAATATTCTAGTAATTTTGTTATCCTATTTAATATTTTCTTAAACTGTGTGCAAACTCTAGAATAACACTAATTTTGAAATGTAGGGAGTACATTACAATTTATACAAAATCAAGTGAGCACCATACTGAGGCTGAAGTGCTACAACTTGAAAAGGAGCATGGGAATAAGACGGTGAAAGCTCAAAGGAAAACCGTTGCAAAATTGTAGCTAAGGTCAATTTTGCTTCTAACATGGCGAAAGCTTGTCCAATGCACACGCGAGGTCCTCGACCAAATGGGAAGAACACACCTTGGGTCTTCGCCGCATTGGCGATTCCTCCGGCAAATCTTTCCGGCTTGAACTCCTTCACATCATCACCCCATACTTCGGGATCATGATGCAATAGTATCACAGGTAATGTGACCTGCACTCCCGCTGGAAAAATGAAGTCTCCTAATTTTGTGTCTTTAGCGATTTTTCGACCAAGCACGGGAAAAGGTGGGTATAACCTTAAAACCTCGTATAAGATCATGGTGACCTGTAATGAGAAAGAAAACGACAATCCAATTAGTACTCAAGTTCATAAAATGCACTCCCTCTGCCCCGAAATTTTGTCATGTTGGTTGACAATCATTTTGAGGCGGAGCGAGTACTCATTTTAACCATTTCAGAATGTGGATTAGGCTTACAATTTTCAGCTGATTCAGCCCGTCAAAATCTGGCGTCTCTGTTCCAAATTGTTGCCAAACCTCTTCCCTAGCTCGAGCTTGCCAGTCTGGGAATCTACTTAGCAAGATCATTGTCCAAACTAAAAGAACAGAGGTTGTCTCCTGCCCTGCAAGGTAAAACAACTTACACTCTTCTATGACTTCCTTAATAGACATCCCGAATTTCTTATGTCCATGTTTATCTATCTCTTCTGAATTGGATTTCAACAATAATCCCAATAAATCATCATCCTTGACTACGGCTTCTCCTTCTCTTGTCGCCTCAAGTCTTGAATTAATAATTTCTGAAATCAGGTAATCAACTTCTCTATATATTTGTTTCATTCTTCTGTTCCTCTTAGTTGGCACAAATCTACACAAACACAAAATTGGGGGTTACGTATACGTTATTTTACTAATAAAACACAATTGACATTTCATTGTTATTTCTTTGCCATTAACATTCACCTGAATCCCGGAATATAAATAGATCGAACAGCCTGACCGAAAAGCTCAGCCTGTTCCTTTTGAAGTTGAAATATCCTCCTTCCTTTTTCATAGCTACTTCCAAACGCTGTCCTCGAAATTGCATCTGCAGTCATACTTTCAAGAAATGGACAGATATCTAATTCAATTGATCTTTCTCTTGCCGGTACCATTTCCTCCCATTTAGTCAACATCTCATGTGCGCATTCGTAAACTGCTGGCATCATAAGCTATTCCCCAAAAGCAATTGAAGATTAAACTAAGCAGTTCAAATCGAAAGATGATGACCCAATTTTAATATGCATAGATTTTAAATTTTTATGGAAATTTAGCCCCACAAAATTAAGGGAAAGAATATATATACCTTCAGCTTATCCATATGGAAAGCTGGGTTCAGAATTCTTCTGTGTTTAGCCCATTTATCCCCATCGTAGGTGAATAATCCTTGTACAAGAAATTTTGCTAGTGGATGGATTTCTGGCTTTTGGAAAACATCAATCCTTTGTGCCACTGTTCTAATTAGTTCAGGATCCATGATCACCACGGCCGGATGTGGCCCTAACCATACATACAAGTTCTTTCCTGCAAAGTACTAAAACCGTTCAACAAAGTAGATAATTTCTTTTATGGGTGCATAACACAGTGAACGCATTATACATTGATATCTTACCGTATTTGTTAAGGGCTTGAAGGAAATGAGGTACAACTCTGGGCACAAAATCATCAACAAGACCAATTGGCTTGGAATGAGCTTCTTTCAGTAAATCTGAGATGTCTTTGAAGTCTCCAATGACTAGCCTGTACCGATTTCCTCTGAAACCTTGTCGTTTCAAGCGTTTTTCGAGCTTCTTCGGCCTCAACCAAGCCCAGTTGAACACTTTCCAACATACAATGCCTAATGAAATCAAAATGCAAGAAGAAAACATTATTGCAATCATGACCATCAAGCTGCTTCCCATTTCTCTGTACTTTTCTTTAGAATTTTGTGAGTTTCACTGTTAGTCAACTGTCAACTTGATCGACTTCTTCAACTGGCCTCCTATATATATAGTAATGGTTACTACCAAATAATAATAATTATTATTGTTATAAATAAATAAATGAATAATTCTTGTATACTTGGAGTCGAAGCTAAGCTAAGATATACCATAAATTATTCTAATTAAGCAAATTTCTTGAGGAAGAAGAAATAATTCAACATTTACCTTATTGAATTAAGTTGTCAGAGAATTAAGAACTTAGCTAAGGGAGTGTGACAAAACGTATGAGCTCCTGATTGACCTTTTAAGGAAAAATATTGAAAAGTAAGCCAAAATCTGACCTTCGGTAACTTAAGAGCAGAGTTTCCCATGCACAAAAATTTCAAAGTTTAGCTACTACTATAACCAATTATTGGAAAAAAAAATACAAAATAACTATACGTGCTAAAATTTAATAATATTTCTTTTGTCCCAAAATAATTATATGCTAATTTGTTTTGAAGAGCGTTTGGTTTGGTCTTTAAGCTTTTGTGTAGTATTTTTCTTATTTTTGAGACAAAATAGATTGGTGGATGTACAGTTTTGAAAGTTATGATTGATATGAATATAATTTACAATTTTACTGAAAAAGATATCTATTTAAACATATTTCAACCATCATGAAGAATACTTGATTGATGTATACTTGAGTTTATAAGAATCAGTTAATCCCATGAAACGGATAGGATATCACATTCTTTTATCATTGTTATAACATTGGTATTTTGAGACAAATCTTACAAGGCTAGATTAAATTTGAAAATAAAATACAGAATGTACAGACACCTTAAGTAGAAAATATTTTGGGGAAAAGAGCAGGCAGATTAAAATATGTATAAATAGCTATAAAAATGTCTTCTAATCACAAATCCGTTGTAGTCTAGTTGGTCAGGATATTCGGCTCTCACCCGAAAGACCCGGGTTCAAGTCCCGGCAACGGAAAGGATTTGGTTTTTTTCTTCGTTTCTTTGTTTTGTTTTCCTTCCTCCACTTAGTTTTTTTTTTTTTTTTAAGTAATGGGTTTTGTCTCCAATTTATCTTGTCTGGTCTTTTAAATATTTCCTTCTTCGTGCAAATACATGATGTTAGCTGTGTAATAATTTGACGTTTCCAAAGGATAACCACAAAATCTAAATATTCCGTATTACTTGTTTAACTATTCATATTACTAAAGGTTTTTCTTTTCTTTTCTTTTTTTTTTTTGGGCATCCTACAGTAATTCTTTGTAATATTAGATGTGAAATCGTAACACACTAAGAAATAAAAGTCAAGCCATTAACAAAATTTTCCTGCATATAGCAATACATAATTTAAGCTTGAAAAGATACATCAAAAAGTGGCTTGACCGAGTTCATCATTTGGGGGGGGCGGGAGGGGGTTGTTTCAAATGTAAATGAAACTTCATTTAATTTTATGGTAAATTGCCCACCACGTAAGATGGAAAAAGACTGGGATTATGAGTATGAGTGGAACTGTGCAAGATACGAAATAATGATGATAAAATATAAATAATGACTTTTGTGATCTGCGCTTTAGTTTAACGAAATGTTTTCTTTTCTTTCTTAGTTTTCAGAAGTAGTAAGTCTCAAATAGAATTCAAAACGGGAACGTTAATGAAAGAGAAACAAAGGAGGGAAAGGGAAGCCGCACCAAATTTTAGCACGAATCTTAGCAAGATCCTAATTAGTTAGCTAACAAGTCTTTACAAAGAGTGAATTCATTAGAAAAGTTATGATTAAGGGCCTGTGTGATTAAGAAAACTAGTGTTTAATTCTGCATGAAAATACTGAATTCATTAAACAAGTACGGATTAAATAATGAATTAACTTTAATATATATTTTGATTATATGTTGTAATGCAGTTTCTAGCATTACTTAATCAATTAATTAGATGTTATTTTCTTTTTGTTAGCAAAATGCTCAAATGAAAAATTTAGTCATTGAATAATTATAAGTAAATAAGTAATCAGCCAGGTTATGAAGCAAGAGCTTAAGTCACTGAAAGAAACAGAACAAACAAATTATCCAACCTTCATTCTCAATTCTTTTTGGTGAAAGGTTAAAATTGTATTAACTTCTCAACACAAATCCATGTTTACATCAGTCCTATTTCCATACATTAACTCAGCTCAAGATGCCTATCCTGTGCAAATACGTTTCCTCCACTCTCTTATACTTTTTACAGTAAACTCTATCCCTCCAAATCATTTCCTGTTTAATGTGATCAACTATTACATTTACATCCAAACACTTCCCCCCATGGTAAACTATATTGCGCTACTTCCACACGTGGTACACAGCAGCAACCAGAACACCAAACAAAACCATTTGCTTACACTTATTCTGTTTCCAGGTATTCAAGAGTCTGGTCTTCCATCTTGAGATGCAATCAGGTACTGTCCTGCATTCCAGCCAAGTCTTCAAAGCCTGCAACACCTGTTGAGAATATTGGCACTTAAAGAATAAGTGATTTAAGGTCTCCTGTTCAACTGTACAAAGGGCACACTGCACAAGTTCATTAATAATTCCCATTTTTAGCATCCTCTCTGAAGTTAACAGCCTTCCTCTCATGGTAAGCCACATAACAAAATTATGTTTAGGAACATTATACTTGTTCCATATCATCACAGTTTCCCACATTTTCTTCCCTGGGCTTCTAAACCACTCATATCCGATTTTTGCAGAATATTTGTCATTGCTAGCTGCTTTCCACTTTCCTCCTATAACCCCATCCTTCATTTTGTCCTTAATTGTCATCAGTTTCCTCCAATACCAACAGGTTCCCTGCCTTGGTTCATAGTCCCAGATTCTCTTAACCTTCAGATAATATTCATGACACCATTTGGTCCAAAGATTTTTCTTTTTCATAGCTAGATCCCATACTTGCTTCCCTATTACTGCCTGATTCCAAACCACAGGTTCTTTAAAATTCAAAACCCCACATTTCTTTGGTCTACAGAGGTCATCCCAGGCCACCAACCCAGGTGCCCTACCACTTCCTTTTTTGCCCCATAAGAACTCCCTACATACCCTAACTACCTGAGTTATAATACTTTTGGGCAGTATAAAAATAGAAGCCCAATATGTGTGCATAGCAAGTAGTACAGAGTTTACTAACACCACCCTTCCTGCATAGGATAAGTGGCGTGTTGTCCAACATTTTAACCTTGCAGTTACTTTATCCACCAATATTTGACAATCAACATCTTTTCATTTATTTGGGGATATAGGGACCTCTAAATATTTCATCGGAAAGGTTCCATAACTAAAACCTGTATTCTTCTGAATTTCATCTCTCAACTCCTTGGTAACACCCCCACAGTAAACATTCGACTTCTTTAAGTTGGCCTTCAAACCAGATGTAGTATAAAACTCATCCAACACCTTCTTTATTCTTTTAACAGTCCCTAGTTCAGCTTTGCACAAGATGATTAAGTCATCAGCAAAGCATAGGTTCGTTATCTGCAACCTCTTACACTTGGGATGATAATAGAAGCCTCCCATTGCTACCTCGAATTTTATCATTCTACTCAAATATTCCATACAAAGCACAAATACTAAAGGGGAGACAGGATCACCTTGTCTAAGGCCCCGTTTACCCTTAAAATACCCTGTTAGACCACCATTTAAACATAGAGAAAAACTACAGGTAGACATGTATTCTTTTATCCAACTGATAAACTTACCAGGGAACTTATACGCTGCAAGCACCTCCTCTAGAAACTGCCAGGCAATAGAGTCATAAGCCTTCTGTAAATCTACCTTCATAAGGCATCTAGGGGACACATTTTTCCTCTTATACAGCTCCACCATTTCCTGTGTCAACAAAATATTGTGAATTATAATTCTGTCCTTTATAAACGCTCCCTGATTTTGATCCACCAGTCTCGGCAATATTTTGGACAACCTATTACTCAAAATCTTGGTAATACACTTGTACAATGTATTACAACAAGAAATCGGCCTGTATACAACTGCACCATTTCATTCTCAATTCTATTCAAATGAAATGAGAATTTCCTAGTTATCATCACAAATAATTACAGTTTCTGCAAAATTGATATGCTTATATTTTACCTAGTTACTATATCCCTAATTTGTGATTTTTACAATATATTGTGAGTACAAATATGCTATTTATGTGATTTTATATTTAATTGTAGGAATTGTACTCAAATGGAAGAATTGTTGAGGTTTTGAGCTAAGACTAAGATAAAAGCAAATCAAAAGGGGTGAAATTGAAGAATAAATGAATTTGCAGAAGAAGAAATCAGAAGATGCAAAGAATTGGAGGACTGAAGTACGAATTTTGTCCTTTTCCTTTGGATTTGGCCGGAAGTGGACATTTGTTAGAATATAATGGAATGATGGGCCTGGTTCTGGTCATGTGGGCTGAGAATGGTCAAGCATTGGGTTGGCCATTTGGGTTAAAAGCTAACAAAGAAAGTTGCTGAAAGTCCAAGTTTTACTCTAATTGGGAATAATAAAGTTTTCTAAATTTTGGGCTGGTTGCTTCCTCGCGCTGAAGACGCAACCGACAAAGAAAAAGAAGAAATTCATGTACTATAAAAGGGGATGTGGTTTTGCTTTCTTAGACAGAGCCGGACGAGCAAAAATATCAATATCAAAAGAAGCAGCAGCCGCGCTCCGGAGAAGCAAAGCAACATCGCCGGACACAATCTTCTCCCCGGGTTTCTTTGTTCTTTTGTTTTATTTTTAATTTTGAGATGATGTGTAGCTAAATTATTTAATTTAGGGTTTTGAATGTAACCGCCGTACTATTTAATTTAATTTAAGTTATGATTGTGACTTTTTCATTAATTAATATTTATTATTCTTGTTTTTCATCCATGTAAATACCTTATCAATATTTGCATGCTTTAAGGTGCGAGCTGAAGTAGCGAGAGTGGAAGGCTAGTATTAGTTTGTAGGAATAATAAACTTAGGTAGTGAGCCATGAGAGTAGGAACACCGCCTTTGCGACTAGTAATTTCAAAGTTCTTAAGGTGCTTTTATTAATCCCTATAGTCACGAGAGTAGTCATAAGGTTAATTTAAGTGAGAGTGTTATGACACGAGAGTGTATAATTCTTAAATTGGTGAATTGCTGTGAGATTAATGAGAGTCAAAAGTCATATATCTATAGTTTAAATTAAACTGAATAGTCGGTTGGTGAACCCTTTGACCTATATTTTTCTTTTACTTATTTATATTTTTAAATAATTGCAATTGTTAGTTTTAGGTTTAGAATAGTTTAAAATTGATAAATTATTAATCTAAATAATAATAAATAGTTTTAACCGGTACTTAGTAACCTTCTCTGTGGGATCGACTATGCTTGCTACTTTATTACTAGTAATTATATTAAGTAGGTAATTAATATTTGACTAGTGTGACGACGGCTTGTCAAAAATCAAACAAGCACAAAGTCGAGGCTGAATTGTCATTGATGATGAGTAAGGACGGTGAAATTTCGAACGAGAAACGTTGAAGAATCATGACCACTGGCCTTTCGTCGCATGCAACACTCCTTCTGGAACCTTTCGACTAGATAGAAAATACATTTATATGTATGTATATACGTTTAGCTTTCTCAAAAATCATTATTATTTTTGTGTTTTCATAATCTTCTTACCAATTCCACATGATTCATATTAATAACCTTTTCTTTTGTAAACAAACGATTTATATTAATTCAAGGCAAAACATGGGGAAAATCCAGGTAAGATTTAAGTAATGTTCTTGCTATCTTATGAGCATTTTCCACTACAAGGCTATTTACTTTAATTAATGTAAACTATTAGCTAGATCTCTGAACTATTAATTAAGTGTGGCATTGAGAACCATAGACATGATGTTCTCTTCTACTCATCAGTTGCCAACTACCATATTGTCCCATTTGCAAAGATATACATTATTGTTTTAACTCAAAATCATAAAAATTAACAATTAGTGTGCTTACGAATAAAAAAAAATTACAATAATATCTATAATAATCGTCGACTAAATCTCAAAAGGCATATAGAGAAAATAAGAGGAGCATTCAATGCTTTATTCAACCTCCCGTTCTAAAACCACAATTTATTATATTTCATTACAATTTACGCAAAATCAAGTGAGCACCATATTGAGGTTGAAGTATTGGAGACGAACGAGGAGCGTGTGAATATGATGGGGAAAGCTCAAAGGAGAAATATCGTAGAATCATGGATAGAGCCAATTTCGCTTCCAACATCGCAAAAGTTTGGCCAATGCAGATACGAGGTCCCCAACCAAATGGGAAGAACACAACACGGCCTTTTGTAGCATGCAACACTCCTTCTGCAAACCTTTCCGGTTTAAATTCCTTCGCATCGTCGCCCCATATTGCTGGATCTCGATGAATTAGCATAGACGGAAGCATGAGTTCCACCTCGGCCGGAAGAGTTAAATTTTCGAGTTTGGTTTCTTCTCTTGTCTTCCGAACAAGATTGGCTAGCGGTGGATATAGCCTTAAGACTTCATGCATTATCATGGTAACCTGTAATGAAAGATTATAATCACTGTATATGTCCACGTACAACAATTAATATAAAATTTTATATGAAAACAAACCCTAATGAAAACTTACTATTTTAAGGTGGTTTAATCCATCAAAATCTGGCTTGCTAGTTCCGAAGATATGCAAAACCTCTTCTCGAGCACGTGACTGCCAATCTTGATACCGACTCAACAAAATCATAGTCCAAACAAGTAGGGAAGAAGTGGTCTCCTGTCCAGCAAAATAGAACAATTTGCACTCTTCAATCACTTCATTGATAGTCATGGCCAGTTTGCTGCTTCCAACTCCTCGGTTGCCATTTGCTTGAGAATTGGATTCAAGTAATAACCCCAACAAGTCTTCACCGTACTTTTCCTTTTGTACTTGCTTTGAGTTCAGTCTTGCATTGATGATTTCCGTAATTGAATCATTCACTTCTCTTGCAATTTGTCTCATTTTGATGTTCCTCTTTGTTGGTAAAAATCTATATATAAAAAAAAGGCAAATTCATCGTGACTAGCTAAACAATTTTACTAAATCATACATTTTTTTGTCCCACAAAAATAATTTGTAAATTGTACCAAAAAAATAGTACAATTAACAATTTACAGTGTAGATTATTTGTATGAGACAAAGAGTATCATATTAGATAATTAATAATTGGACAAAGACAACAAAATTCGTGTTTCATTAAAGGGATCACAACATTGACAAAACTCCACGTTATTCACGGGTTCTTATTATTACAGGAGTATTTTGGTTCTTTCTGATTAAAAATTACTTAATCCATACAATCAGTCTTAAATGATGGCTAAGGGTTAAACAAATAATATTACATAGGTTGTTGTAACTTTCACTTAGATACTCTCTCCATTCCAAAATATATGTCGTTAGAGAAAACCATTTTTTTCAAAATAAATGTCGTTTTTGCAAATCTATGCTTATTTTGTCAACTTCTTTCAACATTGCCCTTACATGGGAAACTGTAATTGTAGTTAAATTAGAAGTGTATTACAACTAAATGATATTGGGAATAGAATTGTATTGACAATAAATGAGGATAGTTTAGTATTTTAACCAAATATTTATTGTCTCCTTAAATTTTGTAAAACTCATCCAACAATATATATTTTGGGATGGAGGGAGTACTATATTAATTTACACGTTTCAATCCTTCGGACGCCTCGCGCGCACTGTACCAAAACAACTTGTATCATGCGATGCGAACATCAGTGATGTTATATGTACAGTCTTAAATTAACTTGTTTTGGACATTAGTCTTCTCCGTTGTTAAAAGAAAAAAACATAATTATAAGGACCGATGCGGGTAAAGTTACAACAACCTGTATTTTTTTTTTTTTTTTACCTCAACCATCATTTAAGACTAATGGTACGGATTCTTTTTTATAGATACACATAATTTCTCAAGAATGTTATCTCAAAATTTTCGTAAAAAGTGAGTATTTATTTACCTTAACCCAGGGAAGTATAGCGAACGGGAAGCCTCCATAGCAAGCTCAGTTTGTTCCTTTTGTAGTTCAAATATCTTTTTACCTTCTTCATAATTACTGCCAAAAGCCGTTCGAGAAATAACATCGCTAGTCAATGTTTGAAGATCAGGCCAAACATCCACTTCAATCGGACCTCCTTTTCCAGAAGCAATTTCCTCCCATTTGCTAAGCATCTCATTAGTACTTTCATAAAAGGCTGGAAGCATCAGCTATTTCCAGAAAAAAATAAACACAACAATTGCAAAAGTGGATGTTTAATTAATTATTACGAGCATTGAACTATGAATCAGTCAAAATATTACTATGTCTGTCCAAAAAATATTTCACATTTAGTTTTCATATTTGTACTAATTTTAGTACAAATTTCAAAACTCAATATGGAGCATTTTTTGAGGCTTGGGGAGTATTAATAGTTAGAATAAAATTATTACGAAATACTCAGACCTTCAATTTCTCGACATGAAAAGCAGGGTTGATAAGTTTTCTTTGATTGGCCCATTTTTCACCTTCGTAAGTAAAGATCCCTTGAGCCAACAATCTGAAAAAGGGATTCGATCGAGGTTTGTGGAACACTTGATATTTATTGGTGATTTCTTTAATGAGATCAGGCTCCATGATCAGCAGAGCCGGTTTAGGCCCCAGCCATAAATATGACATTTTACCTGTATGTATATAAGCTCATCATCATTATTATTAACATTATTAGGAAAAAAAAATATTAGTGAATTTCAAAAGAGGAAGATGAAGAAGAACACGAACTTATACCATGTGATTCTAAGGTTCGGGGTAAGTGAGGATCGACTCGAGGAACGATGTCATCGGAGAGATTAATAGGCTTGGAGTGAGCTTGTTGAAACAAGGATGAGATTTCCTTGAAATCTCCATAGATAAGCTGGTACGGGTTCCCTCGAAACCCTTGTTCTCTGAGCTTCTTCTCCAGCCTTTTGGGTTCAAACCATGCCCAATTTAACACTCTCCAACCGAATACGAAAATCACTGCGCAAGTAATAATAATAATTCCGGAAAAGAGCAACGGAATCATTTTTTAAGTATATCTCTTTGTTTACTGTGTTTTCGAACGTGAGTTAGTCCTCTAATTTATATTGGTTGTTTGGGGTACAGTAATTTTGCTAATTACTTGTACGATTGTAACTTCTAGGTGATGCTCTTTGATCGATTTTGGTTCGGTACTGAAACTTTGTGGGTTTATTTCAAATGATATTATAAATTTCAAAACTCTATGTGAATTTTTGTTTTTTTTTAAAAAAAATAGATGAATTTTTGTTTTGTTCTTTTTTTTTTAGTGTCGTGTTACTGTAAAGTGTAAACATACATTGATAAATCTAACTTCGCCATGAAGACTCCCCGTCTAGCTAATTTTATTCAAGATTTAGAGATTAATAGCTTATAAAATGGGAAAAAAATAAAATAAAATAAAATTTAAAAGATAATGAAATGAAACATAACAGAGTACTAACCTCATTCAAGGTTTATGGCATTAGGATTTACAGTCACATTGTGACATGTAGTTAAAATGAGCATCATGCTGAGAATAAAGGCTTAATAGTATATGAGCAAGAATCATGTGAGTAAGCCGGTTAAAATTTGAAAGAGAAAGCTTAATTTACAAAAATTAAACTTCACCATCTCTTCAAAAATCTCACCCCGGAGGCCAGAAAAGAAAAAAATATGATACTTTCTTTGTTCTAATTTTAGAATTCCATTTATGCAATTAAAATAATACAACACGCCTCTTTTTCCTATGGATGGAAGAGAGAGTATTTTATGAAGAGATTACAAAACAATCTTGTATTAAAAATTACATGTTTGGATCGATCGTTTTTCTAATGTGTGGTTTTATACGTCTCTTTTTTTATTAGAAAGATAAAAAGATGTAATGAAAATGTAAAAATTTATGCTGGAAAAGGACATTTGTTAATAAAATAAATCTGGAAAAACCGTGAGAAAAATGAACCAAACAGAACCTCTGATTTTGTCATGTTGAGTTCTTGTTTTCAACTATGATATAGAGGTAGCGTATTCTTACAATGCACTTGTAAAATTTTAGCGTGAATCTCCTTTTTGCACGGAACAAAACAATGCAATGACAGAAATGTGACTTATGAATGAAAAGATAATTTTTTCATGGATAGTGAATAGCAGTGCACTAACAAGAGTATTAACTGTCTCTAATATTGAAGTAAAACAGAACAAAGTATTCGTTCAAGGTTTACATTTACTCTCCCTGCCATTATATAGAGAAGAAGTAAGAAATGTCTAGTCATACCATGATTGAAAGGTAATTAAAATTTACGCAAAATCAGATGAGCGCCATGTTGAGGTTGAAGTGTTACTAATGAGCGAGGAGCATGTGAATAAGACGAAGAAAGTTCAAAAGAGAAGCGTTGCAGAATCATGGCCATTGCCAATTTTGCTTCTAACATTGCAAAATTTTGTCCTATGCAGATACGAGGTCCCCAACCAAATGGGAAGAACACAACTTGACCTTTAGTTGCGTGTGAAACTCCTTCTGCAAACCTCTCTGGCTTAAACTCCTTAACATCGTCACCCCATATTTTAGGGTCGTGATGAATCAGCATAATCGGCATTGTGACTACTACTCCAGCCGGAAGAGTTATATTTCCCACCGTGGTTTCTTCTGCAGTTTTACGACTAATAGTTGCTATTGGCGGATATAACCTTAGGACCTCATGCAAGATCATGTTAACCTGCCATGGAAATCCATATATACATTAGTGTTACCATCTTCTATCTGTAATCTAATCAACACAAGAATAGAACTACTACCTCCATTTACTTTTACTTGTTGCTTTAAGATTTGCACAATTATTAAGAAAACAATAGTTCATACTTTAATTTTTAAGTGTATTGTCTTTCTTGTCCCTAATTAAAAGTATCGAAACTCTATAAAAATTTTAAATTGTAGTGTAAAAATAAACAGTTGTGATTAATATATGTTATTAAAAATAGAGAGAGATAATGATGAAATTTTTAAAAAACTATATTAAATGCAGCATAGGTAATGAAGTGCGACAAATAATAATAAAAAAATTAATCACTCTAAAATGACAGATAAAAATAAACGGAGCTAGTATGTTTCAAAGAGGTAGTATTATGATATCTTCTCTTCCAATGCCAGTAACACAATACCGTTCTTCTTTTAAATACTTGCATAACATGACATGCGGGAATTAAGAAACTTACAACTTTAAGATGGTTAACCCTATCAAAGTCTGGCTTGTTGTTTCCAAAGACTTGCAAAACCTCCTCCCGAGCGCGGGACTGCCAATCCGGAAACCTACTCAGTAAAACCATAGTCCAAACAAGTAGTGAAGAAGTGGTCTCTTGTCCAGCAAAATAAAACAGTTTGCACTCTTCGATGACATCCTGGATAGTCATCTCATTCTTATCTTTTTCTTGAGCGTTCGATTCAAGTAATAAACCCAACAAGTCATCACCATATCTTTCCCCTGCTTGCTTTGACTTTAGTCTAGCATTGATAATTTCCCTAACTGAATGATTGACTTCTTTAAAAATTTGTTTCATTCTGATGTTTCTTTTTGTTGGCAAGAACCTGAAACAAAAAAGAAAAATGCTGTTATCGTAATAACTAATATGAAAGTGCGATATTCTAACTAACCGTGAACCTCAATCTTTGTTATGTTCACTATTACTGTAATCTTTAGGATAGAGAAATACTCCCTCTGTTCTAATATTATTGTCCAGTTTGAGATTTAACTTTTCGTATAATTTAAATTAAAAATAAAAATTCAAACTGGACAATAATTTTAGGACGGAAAAGAGTAATGTATATGGTGATTGTAAAATGAAATAATTTTACCATCCCTATCATTCTCCGTGAAAATACACATACCTCAATCCGGGAAAATATAGTGAAGTGAACGACTTGAGCAAATGTTCGGTTTGTTCCCTTTGTAGTTCAAAAATTCTTCTCCCTTCCTCATAATTACTGCCGAAAGCCGTTCGGGAAATAACATCACTAGTCAAAGTTTGAAGATCGGGCCAAACATTAACTTCAGCTGAGCCTTCTTTTGAAGCGATTATATCTTCCCATTTGGTCAAAATTTCACTAGTACTTTCATAAAAGGCTGGAAGCATAAGCTATTTTCAAATGCACAAAACAATAAAGACAGATAAATATCAATTAGCGCTCATCACTAAATTGGTAATCCCTCCGTCCCAAAATAATTGGCTAATTTAGACTTTTATTCTTATTCTTAAAGAGAAAATTTAAACTGATCAATAGGGAAGAATGGAATTCTAATTTGGATAACAACCTAAGTTTTTAAATATAAGTAAATGAATGAAACCTTTAATTTCTCCACGTGAAAAGCTGGGTTGAGAATTTTTCTGTGTTTCGCCCATTTTTCGTTTTCATATGCAGTAAGCCCTTGAGCAAGCAATTTGGCAAGTGGATTTACTCGAGGTCTTTGGAATACTTGACTTTTATTGGTGACTTCCTTTATTAGATCCGGTTCCATGAGTAAAACAGTTGGTCTTGGCCCAAACCATAAACATGAATTTTTACCTACAAGCCCATTAATATTGGCATTAAATGAAGAAAAACTTATGCAGGAAAAGTGGAAAACAACTCAAGGGAAGGGATTAATCTTATGTAAAAATGCGCCAATATACAATGGATAATGATGATTCGTGTAGAAAACATGTATTGGAAATTTTAACCAATCCCAACCGTCTATATTTATAATTTTCTTTTTGAGGTTTACTTATTTAATGATTAAGAAATAGTTAAAATTCAGTCACATCATTCCATATTAAAATTTCATGTAAATTTTCTCTCCATATATTAACTCTCACATGCTATATATCTGAAAATTCATATTTTTATGTAAAAGATTAACAAAATGTACTACTTCTATGTTGTAAAAAATAATTTATTATAAATTATATAATTTACAATTTATAATGAGAATTATTTTTATAGAAATGGAGAGAAAAGTCTAAAATGATTATCCTGTTTTAATTTTAACAAAAAATAAAAAAATAATAATTTAAATAATTATTTTGGGACTGTAGGAGTGTATTTATGTGTCAACGGCCGTTTAAATGGAAGGACAAAACAGATTAGAACGATGATGAAGGCTAAAGAGTATAAAGGAAAAACGAAGGAATTTTCACGTAAAAGCAATGTAAAGAATAATATACAATAGGGAACATGTAGTGGTCTTTTTTCGTCTCTTTTAGTGGGCAGCGTCTTTAAAAAATAAGTAGTGGTTGAATGGGGACATCAGGCCATGGAAAAAAAAAAACAATTATACTATTGTCAATAATGAGTAGTGTTTTCATTTGTCCATCAAATAATTTTTATTTTTATAATATTTTCACTAGACTAATTTTTTGGGACGAAGAACCAAAACTAAGTACATCAACAAAGTTAATCTACATGTTACTTGAGTGAAAGTTGAATCTACGTACATCGAAAGGATCTAGAAGAGCAAGCGGAATCAGTCAAAGAGATGTAATCATTTTCAGAGTGAAGCTATAAGTAGAGCCTAAAAGAAGAAGAACATACCATAAGTTTCGACGGTTCGGAGAAGGTGAGGAACAACCCGAGGAACGATGTCGTCGGAGAGATTGAGAGGCTTGGATTGAGCTTGTTTGAACAAAGATGAGATTTCCTTGAAATCTCCTTGGAGAAGCTTGTATGAGTTTCCTCGGAATCCCTGTTCTCTGAGCTTCTTCTCCAGCTTCTTTGGTCCAAACCATGCCCAATTCAACACCCAGCTCCAACAACATCCAAACAAACAAATAACCACTCCAGCAAAAACCCACAAGGGAACTATGAACATCTTGGATCAAAATTTGATGTTCACTTCTTTATTTTTTTCTTTTTCCTCCTTAAATTTCCGAGCGCTTCTGATATCCTAAAAGTCTGTCTAAATGTTTGACTTTGGTGAGCGAGCTTGTCTCCACAAATATAACGGTTTCGTTGGCAGTGGGTACAGCGATGCTGATTTATTCAATCTACTAAAGGACAAAGATATGACATAATGAGGATGATAGAAAATTACAACCAAAGAAAAGGAAAAAGAAAAAAGGAGCAAAAGAAATTCAACTAGTGTTAACCAATGTGAACATAGGCTATATCTTTTCGGTCTTGAGTCTTAGACGGTGATCTAAGTTTATACATGGGATTCAGTCAAAAAAAAAAAAAAAAAAAACCCACAGTGCGTCTCCGTGATTTTTTTTCTTTTTTAAATTTTATTATCAAGAGTGTGTAGTATATGCTTTGAAGTATCTCAAGGTTTTTTATATCACTGCGAAAATAATGATCTTTTTCCTTCCAAAATGTTTATTTGGTTTGAAAAAAAGAAATTTTAAATCCACACTAAACTATTATTTTTGGATCAAAAGACTATTAGACTGGTAGACAATTTATTGGGTGCACCCGGAAGTTCCATGTTCCCCTCCTATTTTTTGCACATGTAGTCCTTATTGTACTTTTCTTTAATATTCTTATATTTTGCAAGTTCAGTTTCTGTTATTTTTTTCTCTCTCCTCCAAAAACATCTATAATCTTTAAATGAGTATATCTCCCAATCCGTGAAGAATTAGAAAACGTGTTACACATGAAATTTATTGTTCTCGTCGAGATCTATCCAACAAGCTCCGTATTAAATATTTTTTTTCGAGCTTAAAAATGATCAAATTTCGATGGACATGAATAGAGTGGATGGATATCCAAATTAAGAAAAATGGATAACCAACTCATTTTAAAGTGGTTATCCATTGTGTTCATGCTGATTATCCAACCAGTTTGAACTGGTTATCCATTTTGTTTGTACTACTTATCAATTTGGTTTGTATGCCTATCCAACTTGTTTATAGTGGATATCCCACTTGTTTGTACTGGATATCCATCCATTTGGTTTATATGCCTATCCAACTTGTTTTGTAGTTATAATCCAACGGGTTTGTATGCATATCCAACTTGTTTGTACTGGATATCCAACTTGTTTGAACTGGATATCCATCCATTTGGTTTGTATGCCTATCCAATTTACGCGTACTGGTTATCCAACGGATTTATATGCCTATCCAAATTATTTGTATTGGTTATCCAATCATTTTTTTTTGTTTGAAAAAAATCATTTTCCGATATGCTAATACTGATTATCCATTTTGTTTATGCTTATCTAATCATTTTTTTTGAAACACGTTTATCCAATGTGTTCGTAGTGATTATCTAATCTCTTTGTATTGGTTATCCAATTATTTTTACTGCCTGTCTAAATAAGTTTACATTACTTGTCCAATCATTTTTTTCTTCTCTTGAGAAAATGCTTGTCCAATGTGTTCGTACTGATTATCTAACCCCGTGCTATTGTTTCTCCAGCTATTTGTTTTTTTTTTTATTTTTATGAAAAACTTGTCCGATATGTTTGTACTTGTTATCCAACTAATTGGTACTGCTTATCCAACCTATTTTTTTTTCCTTAAAATGGTTATCCATTGTGTTCATAGTGATTATCCGACCGGTTTGTACTGATTATCCATTTCGTTCGTACTGATTACCCAATCTTTTTTTTTTCGAAAAATCATTGCCTATGTGTTAATACTGATTATGCAACTAATTAGTACTGCTTATCCAACCTAATTTTTCTTTTTTATTTTATTTTTAAAAAAAATGGTTGTCCAACGCTTTCATATTGATCATCTAACCATTTTTTTTCTTTATTCTTTGCGAAAATTCTTGTCTAATTTTTTATACTGACTATCCAACTGTTTTGTATTGGTTATCCAAACGTTTTCACTGATTATCCAAACATAATTTCTTTTCTTTCTTTTTCTTTTGAGAAAATATATGTCCAATGTGTTCATACTGGTTATCCAACTTCTTGGTGATGATTATACAACCTTTTTTTCCTTGCTCTTTTATGAAAATTATTGTCCAATTTTTTTGTACTGGTTATGCAACCAGTTTGTACCACTTATCCAATTATTTTTAATGATTATCCAAATGGTTTGTAATGGTTATCTAAATATTTTATTTTATTTTTTTTGAAGAGAAGGAATATCAAAAATATAATTCGATAACCAGTACAAAAAATTGGATAATTAGTCCAAACCGGTTGGATAATCAGTATGAACACAACGGATAACCATTTTTCAAGAAAAAAAACATATTTTTTCATTTCTGCCCGTAAGATTTAAATACATTTAAAGTTCAAAAAAAATATTCAATTTGATGTTATCGAATAGATCTCGTCGAGCACTATGAATTTTATATATAATTCGATTTTTAATTATTTACAATTTGAAAGATAAAAATTTTACAAGAAAATATCAATATAAAATAATCACTTATCCATCTTTTTAAACTAGATATCCACCTTAATTCTGCCTATCGAAATTTGATCTTTTTTAAGCTCGAGAAAAATATTCGACATGGATCTTGTTGGATAGATCTCGTCGAGTGCTATAAATTTCATATATAATTCGTTCACAAATTCTTTACGGATTGAGAAATATGTTCGTTTAAAGATTATAGATGTTTTTTGGAAGAGAGAGAAAAAAAATAACAGAGAGTAAATTTACAAAATATAGGAGGCGTTGAGAAAAAAGTACAATAAAAACTAGTAGTACAAAAATAGGAGGGATTCACATGCTCCCGGATATGCTGGATACAGACTTGATAATAGGCATTTATTGATTCTCTAGTTTATTTTCCAAGAAAGAGCATAAAAATGACAAATATTATGATCTGGATTTCTAGATTTACACGCGTGAATGTCTTTTTCATGGAGCGTGGCGCTGATCTTGGGCTAATGAAGTTCACCTAAATCGATTCATTGATATAATCCATATTCAGATGACGTGTGCTATGACGCAGCACACAATTTTCTTCTTTCAATTTCATGGCTTCGTTTTCTCGACAATTTTATAGAGATATAGTCGACTTTGATGATTATTATGTGGTTGTTTGGACGTCCACTTAGTTTTCATTTTTTACTTGAAAATGGAAAGTGTTTTAAGTGAAAAACATAATGGAAAATAAAAAAAAAGTTGTTTGGAGTTCTTTTAGCAAAAAGTTGTTTAGATGGTGGTTTAAAAAAAGTTTTTTAGAATATGTATTGAAATATCAAGTACGAAAAATATCACTAGATAATCGAAAAGTGTCAATTTTAGTCACTGTAAAAAAAAATTTCAAAAATGATCACTAAACAATGGAAAAGTGTCGATTTTGCTCACTGTAAAATGATCATTAAAAGCTGTTCCGTGATTTTAGTGATCATTTTACAGTGACCAAAATCGACACTTTTCCGTTGTTTAGTGATCATTTTTTAATTTTTTTCACAGTGACTAAAATTGACACTTTTCGATTGTTTATTGATATTTTTCGTACTTGATATTGCAATACACATTTCAAAAAATTTTTTCCTAACCACCATCCGATTGGGCCTCAGTTTTTTTACTAGAGTCAAACTGAAATAAATGTGCAAAGTTTTAGATTTAGTCACTTGACTATTTTTAGTTCAAAAATGGTTATTGCACTAAGAAAATGTTTCAAGTTTGATTTTAAAATGTAAATCAGAAAGTTATTTAATGTCAGTTTGGTTTGCATTGAGTTTTGTATTTAAGAGACAAAATGAGTTAAAAATACAAAATAAGTGGACGTCAAACAAGCTCATATACTTCTTTCTTCTTAGATAAGAGTTTTGTTTCCGAAGCCATGAAATTGTTGGAAAAGAAGTGACTCGTGGATGTTTGGCATGTTAGAGCTGGTGAAGATTTTTCAATAGTACCGTTCCATTCACCAAGAACAGCTATTCTATGATTGGAGGATGATATAATCCACAGTTTTAATTCACAGTGTATGTTAGTTTAATAATTGCATGTAGCATGATTAAAATATTCGTTGGGAAAGTCTTGCCTTTCAAAAAGAATTTATCTTATTCGAATTTGAATTAGTCTGAGCAATGAGTTTGGATACCGATTGCGTAATATAGCATATATATATATATATATATATATATATATATATATAAAGCTGATGAAGAGAAGTGAGTTCATTACAAGTAATTAATTTAACTTCTTAAATTTGAAAAATCAACTTTTTATTATCATTACAAGTAATTACTTCATCAAAGTTTACGCAAAACTAATTGAGCACCGTGCTGAGGTTGAAGTGTTATTGAGGAGCGAGGAGCATGTGAATATAGTGGTGAAAGATCAAAGGAGAAGCGTTGCAAGATCATTGTGAGGGCCAATTTGGCTTCGGTCATAGCAAAATTTTGGCCAATACAGATACGAGGTCCCCAACCAAAAGGGAAGAAGGCAACTTGACCTTTTGTTGCATGCAAGACTCCTTCTTCAAATCTCTCCGGCTTGAATTCCTCGGCATCATCGCCCCATATTTCAGGGTCACGATGAATTATCATAGTAGGCATCATGAGTAACACTCCGGCCGGAAGAGTTAAACTTCCGAGTTTGGTTTCCTCCGCTGTCCTCCGTGCAAGATTGGCTAATGGTGGATATAATCTCAACACTTCATGTAATATCATATTAACCTGTAATTAAAACATTAATGATTATGTCCAATTACTATTAGTATAGGTTCGTATTAAAAAACAAATAATCCCTCTATTCCACATGAATTTGTACTAAATACTATATAAATTTAAAAATTAAATATGAATTATTTTTTGAGACAGAAGTAATCATATACAAATATTTAAGAACTTACAATTTTAAGGTGGTTTAAACCGTCAAAATCTGGTTTGGATGTCCCAAAGATTTGCAGAACCTCCTCTCGAGCACGTGATTGCCAATCTTGAAATCTACTTAGCAAAATCATAGTCCAAACAAGTAAGACAGAAGTGGTCTCCTGTCCAGCGAAATAGAACAGTTTGCACTCTTCAATAACTTCATTGATAGTCATAGCCAATTTGTTGCTTCCAAATCCATGGTTACCACCTTCCTGAGAGGAGGACTCAAGTAACAATCCCAACAAGTCTTCACTATCGTATGTTTCTCCTGCTTGCATTGACTTTAGTCTTGCAATGATGATTTCTCCAATTGAATCACTGACTTCTTTTGCAATTTGTTTCATTCTCATGTTCCTCTTTGTTGGCAAAAATCTTAAAGAACATAAATCATACCCTAAATCATAATTAGGTCATTCAAAATGA